GTGTGGCTCTACCTCGTGCAAATAATTTCTGTAAAGGATTACATAAAATTAAGTATATTATGTAGATTGTAAAAAAATATCTAATTTGCCATAGAGCAGTTTTGCTTTAACTCGTGGATGTTACTCGCAATAACGGGGCTATTTCTAACAATCAAAAATTGAACGCATGTTTGTTCAATCGAAACCTAAAGATAAAATCACCGTCATCGAGACTTTGCGTATAATTCACTCTTCCGATTCTCTTTGGAGAGCGGCGTTGGGTTTCAGCTTCATCACTCGAGTCAGATAAATGAGCTAGCATTTCCAAATCACCGTCACTATCACTAGACAGTAACGTTAAATCCATTTTTACGCAAATAAAATAAAACAAAACACTTAATAGGTGGGAACTAGAATGGTACGAGAGCTAGCAATGTTGGAAAAAAAAGAGTTTTGGAAAAGCTGGTTATTAATTATATGTTTCTCTATGATGTTCCGTACAGCATGCGGGCTACCTGGCAGCCGGTAAACGCTGCGTTTATTAATGCGCATCATACCTTTGCAGGTGAAAATATTGATTTTAGATGATTTTTTTTCCTTTTCACTAACTTTCAAACGCTGTTAAAAACATGAATTTATTATTGCCAGACTTTTTTGTTATTAACAATAATTTGCCCGACGATAATTTTTATAAACAAAACTAATTAATTTCAAACTATTCTAGGATGCTTGTAATTTTAGTATTATTTGATTTATACATAAATAAGTAAGTTAAGTAAGTTAATTCGATTGTTTACGCAATACGCAGACTGATTTATTGCTGTTGTATACCGCGGTATTATGCGAGTGAAAGGCAATTAATGGGAAAGTACGTAGGCGGAAGAGAGACAGGACTACATTACACTATTCAAAGTATTTGAAATAACTTTTTTATTTATATATCTTTGATAATGAGAATGATTAAAAACCTCCCCTACCCACCCTCCGTTTCCTCCTTAGGTAAAATCGGCATGATTTTATCCCACTTCTGACAACAATTGTTACGAGCTTAGGGTTCGTGACAATAAAAACTGCCGATTGAATTACCAAAATTAACACTTTAATTCACTTTACACTGATTAAAACTCAAAATACACTAATAATTAATCACACTGATTCACTTTATTTCGCTCCGAAGCTTTGCTTGTCTCGCCAAATTCAATACTTCCCCGGTTGCAGCTTGCAACGGCTTAAAATACACCTTTTCCACCGAAACATTCAGAATATTCCAGTAAATACGGGCGCCGACCGACCAGGCGCAGAGAGTTCGAATGTGGGGCTTCTAGAAAGCTTAATTCTTCTGTTCGATACTAGATGGCGCTGTTGGTGGAAAGTTCAAGATTGACATTTTCTAGGAAGCCCTCCTCGCTCTGGTCCCCGACCCTAGATGGCGCTAGTGCCAGGTACCAGACGTCAACTTAGGCGCGCAACACTATTATGGTTTAGATCATTACAATCTATTTTTTCCTGAATTTTTCATTTCATTCTATAATAAGGTCATAAAAATCTGATGCACCTCCATAGTCGTCTTCATCGTTACTGCTGTTACCATTATCATTATCATCATCATCATTATCATCATCTTGCGTAGCGTTGCCGTTGTCTTATAGTTTTGGTTCTGGAGCAAAAGTATTTAATTATTAGATTATCATAGTCAAAATAACTAAGCGAAATCATATTTATCGTTCATTGATGACCCACCCGGAAGATAACGGCCATAAAGATGATGGATTTTTTAAAGAAGTATTTCTCCAAAACATTGTCACATTCTTTTCAAAATTATCACCGATTTTTTTCGATTGATAAGTTTTGGAAAATAGATAGAAGCAAACATCATTAACATTTGAAGAGTTACGCACCCCATATATGTAACATATAAATTTTTCTATAGTGGCAAATGTACGTTCAAGTACATGTCCATCGTCAGTTGTAATCTCTTGACATGCTAACTGATATTCAAGAGATTTTTCGAACAGCTTGAAGGGCTTTAGTTTATCTTTCCGGATGAAAACTGGGGTGTAATCGAACGATACGAATAACACTTATTGGAACTTAGGTTAATAGTTTTATTCCCGATTAAAGGAAAAATGTTATCGTTACCCTAATGATTTTATTGATAAAATAATTATAAGAGCTTCCTTGAACTATATATTTTTAAATTCACCAGCAAAATTATGAAGCCGAATTGGATTAGGTCTGATAGAAACTGTTGGTTGATTCATTGCGACACATGTTGATTAAATGCTCACAATATTTTAAGGAGGTATGATAAACTGATCAAACACAATGTCAATGCGAGATTTAAACTGTGAAATCATTTTAAGGAATTTCTTCGATACGCAATCGAAAGTTTGTGGTACTTCTTTTATAAGGTGAAACATGAAGAAACCGTCTAAAATACTGATAAGGATTGCTGAATGACCTTGCCAAATTTCTTCTCTAAAACTTTAACTAATTAAGATTTATCTGTTTTACAAATACTACCACCTGCATGACACATCGTTGATGGTACCAGCGTTGGTGGAAATCCCAGTACTTTTTCAATATCGAGATCTCCAGTTACGCGATATAAATGACTCTTTAGACTTTTAATATTAGTCTCCTATTCTCCCCAAAATGACTCGCGGCGGGGACGTTCAGAGACCACTCGATGCAGTTCTCAGCTAAGATGTGAGCGAAATCTGAATTATAATACTTAGAGGTTAAAAACTCGTGTAACTCTGATAAAATACGTTTCGCCCCTTCGTAGTTTGTACCATTATCCGACTACACTTTACTTATAGGGTCGCGGCGAGAAAGAAACCTTTTAAATGCACCCATGAAGCTAGCCGTGCATAAATCACCGGCAAGTTCTATGTGTACAGCGCGAATATTCAAACATACGAAAATACAAATATACGCCTTCGTGGATCTTACACAACACCCGCGAGTAAGCGTGACCTTAAACGGACCAGCAAAGGCTGACTCGTTGTGCATAAAAGGCTTTGCAGATTGTGTTACACGGCTAGACCTAAGGTCCGCCATTTCCGGGAATGACGGCCTAGGAGGAACTCGAAATCAAGCTATACATCTGTGCACCCGATCACGAATTAAGTTACATGCAGAGAGAATCCAGTAATTCTGACGCAAAATAGACATCAAAAATTCAGGGCCAGCATTACAATTCAGTTTATGGTGGTGATCAACTAATAAATTCAAAATATTATCTTTACGCGGTAAAACTATAGGTTGTCGTTGGTTGAAACTCAAATGTGAGTTGGATAAGCGCCCAGCCACTCTTATAACCTCATCTCACAAAAATTGCTTGAGGCGTTGAAAAGTGTGATTACAAATCTTACCCGATTGTAATCTTGTAATTTCATCGGCAAAGTGCACACGTTGAAGCTCACGAAATATTAATAACCCGGCATAACTATAATCGGACGCAATGATATACTGACGTTGTCTTTACAAATCGACAAACGTAAATCACGTTACGCAATGATTTCGACCAGGAGGAAAACGGTTCGACAAAGCAATGATTGGAGAAACTTCACTCGAAGCACTCACAACCAGAGCGTGCCTCTTCTCGTGATTGGGATACTGACGAAGGGTCAAAATCAGCTGTGTGCAAAGTTCTAGGCGCGCGAGAGAGACAACCTTACGAGGGGAAACCTCGATTTAGAGCTAATGAGGCTGACCGAATTCTTACCATTGTTCTGGACGTGAAAATATACAACGCCCCCGTAAGTTTTCTCGCTAGCGTCTGCAAACCCATCGACAGTAACGACGCTGTCTTTCCCGAAGTTTATATGACGTAGTATTTTAATTTCACTTAGTAAAGAGAGTTCCTCACTAAAATATAGCCACAAACGAATAATGTTATCGGGTGGCCTGTCATCCCAATCACATTCACGTAACCAAAGTTGTTTAACCAAAAGCTTAGCGTACAATACCACCGGTGCTACAAAACCCATGACATCTAATAATCTAGCAATGCGTGACAATATTGTGCGCTTTGTACACGTCTCCGCGGGTGGGTTTACTTTAAGAGTAAACTCGTCGAACTCAGGTGACCAACACAAACCGAGTACGAATTCTTTTACAGCCGAAAGGCGTTGTGATAGTGGGATTGTATCCAAAACAGTACGTGAATTACTAGTCCACTTGATGAGATAAAATTGACCTGCTTTCATGAGTTTCATAACTTCGGCGATGGTTGAGATAGCCTCCTCTACGTTATCGACCGAGTATACGAAATCGTCCATATACAAACTACTCTCAATTGTCTTCCTAGTTTTAGGGTAAGAGGGACCCTCATCAGCAGAGAGTTGTTTCACCGTGCGAAGCGTATGAAATGGGCTCGACTTTAAACCGAAACAAACGCGATTAAATTCAAACATCTTTACAGGTTCCTTTGGACAAAGCGATATAAAATGCGCTGGAATCGACGGTCGCATTCACGGACCCCAATGCAAAGAAACATTTGGCGAGTATCAGCGGATACTGCAATACGAAACAAGCGAAAATTTACTATTATACTAAATAAGTTGCCTTGCAAATTTTGCTCACTATAAATAACGTCGAGAGAGGCGGGTGCTAGTTCTAGCACAAGCATCGAGCACTACACGTAACTTGGACGTAAGTTTGTCTTCCCTGATGACACCGTGATGTGGTATAAAATATGACGGCGTGTCTTCATAGTTATCTATTTTGGAGACGCAAGCGATATATAACCTTCCTTTATATATTCATTAATAACACCGTCATAAACTTCCTTCAATTTGGGCAAAGCGATCATCCCGCTTGGACAAAAACTGCATACCATAACTACTTATATACCGGGTAAATCGTCAAAGCATCGTCGTACGGACGAAATGCACGGAAAATGCGCATAAGTCAGTCGGTAGACGGTAAACGAAACAAACGTATGTATTGCGCTGTTGCCAGTCGATCGCTATTGTTTTTGTAGTCGGAGTTTCTAAAACTTTATCTTATCCAACATGTTTATGTGTCACCGGTGTAATAGTGAAGCCAGGGATGGTGTGCAGTGTACGATGTGCCTCAACCGTTTCGATTTCCCATGTGCAGGAATAACAGAGGCAGGATATCGCAAACTTGGGGACAGAAAGGCTACTTGGAAATGCAATACCTGTAAGACAGGAACTGCGAGTCCTAATCTTTCTTCCGAGAAAACAGTACAAGGAAGGGTACCATCTTATGGTGATCTGGAGAATATTCGTCTTGAGCTTAGTAAGATTACCAAACAAATATCGTCATTACCACAGTTAATTGCAAGTGTCAAGACTATCCAGGCTGACATCTCAGATCTTAAGGATATGAAGAGTGAAATGATGGACGTTAAAAACTCCTTGAACCATGTGCATACTTCGGTTGAGGGACTTACTAACAAATTGACCGAGATCGATCGGGAAATTCAGTCTCTTCAAAAAACTAAGGATGATGTTGTACGTGTTGAACATCGATTGGAGAAGCTTGAGGCCGCTGTACGCGAAAATCAGCAAAGATCGCGCCTGAACAACATTGAGATCAAAGGCGTTCCTGTAACCTCCTCTGAAAATCTTTTTACTATTATTTCCAATATTGGTAGTAAAATAGGTTACGAAGTTCCTAAGGAGCAAATCAACTACGTAGCAAGAGTACCTCAGCGTAATAATAAAAACACCAAAAACATCATTGTGTCACTTCACACCCGTTACCTGAGAGATAATTTTATAGCTGCTGCTAAAAAATGTAAAACTTTAACTGCTGCGGATTTAGGATTGAGAAGTGATAGCAGGATTTTCGTTAATGACCACCTTACGTTTGAGAATAAACAGCTACTTAATAAGACAAAAGCTCTTGCAAGGGAGAAAAATTTTTCTTATACATGGGTAAAAAACTGTACAATTCTAATGAAAAAGAATGCGACATCTCCTACATATGCAATAAAAACGGAAGCAGATTTAAAGAAGATTTTCTGAATATAAATTTGTTCATTTCTATATCAATTTGTGAAACAAGTTTGAGAAACACTGGTACGTTAAGTCTATTCTATTTATTTATCTTATCACTGACGGTACACGTTGTTGTTCTGTTGTCGCTCGGTTTAATAGCTGCTCAGTGCATTTTTTATTTGTACCTTAAACCATATGTGATATTAGTTAAGATAGCGTTTAGTTTGACAAATATTAAATTATTTCTTGCGGTATTTTATTGTTGTATAAATGATCAATACTTCTTCGTTGATACTTATACTACACATTTTGCGTCTTATTTCTTTAGCGATTGCTACAATATGAACAAATTGGCGCTGTTATTTGCTGTAGTTAAACACATCCATATACTTTTTATTAATATTATTTATTTACCACCACACTTTAGGTGCGTATTCGCACTTCTTTTTATGTTATGGTATGTCATTTTCAGCGCTATTTCTGTGTTTTTGTATGATTTTAATGATGGCTGTTGAAATATACTATCAAAATGTACGTGGTCTGCGAACAAAGGCATCAAATTTTCTGAGAAATGTATGTATTAACAATTATGATGTTATATGCTTGACGGAGACGTGGCTTAACGATGACTTTTGTAATAACGAGCTCTTTGATGACCGTTATGTTGTTTGGAGACGTGATAGAAACTATAATGTTACAAATCAAACGTTGGGAGGTGGTGTGCTTATTGCTGTTAAGCGTGAGCTTGCAGTGCAGGAGCGGGTCGACTGGCGTTCTTCTGCCGAAGAATTATGGGCATCGTTAACTCTTCGGCGTTCCAAACCGAAAATGACATATAAACTGCATATTTGTACGATTTACTTATGCAGACAAAATCTGGGTAACTCATTATCTGCACAGTTAGCTTGTTTTTATACAAAGTTATACGACATAGTAACGACCAATCTAACTGATGCTTTCGTTATTTTGGGAGATTTTAATCTACCAAATATAACTTGGACTCTTGACGATGACTTGTACTCTCTTTGTCCAGAAAATATTGAGGGGTCCATTCAGTCCGACTTTTTTGACACCTTAAATACGTGTAATCTGCAGCAATATAACTCTCATACCAATGTTAACAACAGAATACTCGACTTAATTTTTTGTAATAATCACTTATCCGCAACAAAATGTACCGACCCTTTAGTACCTGAAGACCCTCATCATGTGGCTCTTAATGTTCTAACGGATTTTGTCGAGTACCACACTTTACCAGTCCAGCCAAGGACTAAGTTTATGTACCATTTAGCTGATTTCTCCTCTATATCACGAGAGCTTGATAATTTTACATGGTCTCACGATCTTTTTAAGGGCACAGTGGACGATGCATTGTCACTATTATATACTCGACTAAACAACTTGTGCGGCACTTACATACCAACAAAAGTAGTAAAATCTTCTTCTAAATATCCCCCCTTGGTATAAAACCCCTCTTATAAAAATTTTAAAGGAAAAGTTTAAATATCATACCAAATATAAAAAATATGGCAATTTGTCAGATCATGAGTCTTTTTTAGTATTACGTAATCGCGCCAAACAATTAGAATCCGAAATGTTCAACAATTATATAGCAAAGATAGAACTCAGCATAAATAAATCGCCAAGGACCTTCTGGTCTTTCGTGAAATATAAAAAAGCGTCAAACGCTTGTCCATCTATAATGAAGTATGGACACATATCATCAGGCCAAGGGGATACTATTTGTAATATGTTTAGCGATTTTTTCTATGGTAATTTTCACAAAGTTCGCAATAACTATAACACCCGATATGAGCCCGATAATTGGCGATCACATACTGTGTCGGGTATAAACTCGATACAAGTTAGCGAAACTGAAGTCTTTAAGCTTTTAAACTCGATTGACCTTAATAAATCTGCAGGCCCAGATGGTATACCACCCATTCTTATAAGTAAGTGTGCTAAAAGCTTGACTATACCGTTAACAATAATATACAGACGTTCTCTCAAGGAAGGAATAGTACCTCTTATTTGGAAATCTGCATTTATTACCCCCATCCATAAAAATGGTCCAAAGGACCGTGTAGAAAACTATAGGCCAATATCCAAGCTTTGTTTATTCAACAAAATCTTTGAGAAAATCGTATACTCGTCTGTATATCATGGCATCAAACAAACACTCAGTGATTATCAACACGGCTTTTTAAAAGGTAGATCCACGGTTTCGAACCTTATTGTCTGTTCTGACTATTTAACTAACATCATGTCTGAGCGCTTACAAGTTGACGTAGTCTACACTGATTACAGTAAAGCGTTTGACCGTTTAGATCACGTTATACTTCTCAGAAAACTACTCGAGGTAGGTATCAGCGGCGACCTGTTTAGGTGGTTTAAATCTTATATTGAGAATCGTTGTCAGACAGTAGTACTCAATGGGTATACGTCAGCAACTGTGCAAATCCCTTCAGGTATACCGCAGGGATCTCTATTAGGTCCTTTGCTATTTGCGATTTTCATAAATGATATAGGTTCCTGCTTCACTTACTCCAAAATAATCCTTTATGCTGATGACATGAAAATTTTATGTCCCATTACTAATACTTCTGACTGCCTTGGTTTGCAGCGTGATCTCAATGAACTTGAACGATATTGTTCACGCAATAAACTTGACTTGAATGTGTCCAAGTGTTTTATCGTTACTTTTACCCGTAAACCCAATCCCACTATCTTTCACTACAAATTACAAGACACTACTATAGAGAGATTACAGTCTGTAAAGGATCTTGGTGTATTTTTCGATTCTAAATTACTTTTTGATGCACATATTGACAATATCATTAAAAAAGCCAATAGAGCACTTGGATTCGTTTTGAGATTTTCCACTGATTTCTATAATATTAAAACATATAAGATACTTTATTGCGCTCTTGTTCGCAGCCATTTAGAGTACGCCTCTCAAGTGTGGAATCCAAATTATAACATTTATATAGATAGGATTGAGCAAGTACAAAAACGTTTTCTACGTTTTCTGCAATTTAAGACGCAATTTTACACTAATAACTACATTTCGCGATGTAAAAAATTTCATATTTTGCCTCTGCACGAACGTAGGCGCATAGCAGATATGATTTATCTTTTTAAATTGGCAAATGGTTATATTGACTGTCCGGAGCTACTGAGTAAATTAGGCTTTACAACAAGAGCTACCCTATTAAGAAAGCCTCGCTTACTCCACGTGCCGCATACCCGGAATAAATACAGGCAAAATTCTTTTATAATACGTGCATGCAGAACTTTTAATGACATTTCCAATAGCGTTGACTTGGATCTGTTTAGTACCAATGTTTCTCGAATCAAAAATATCTTAGCGAAAAAAATTCTTTTGTTGAATGTTTTCTGTGTAATTTAGTTAATTTACTGTATTTGTCTTAATCGATGTTTATCTTTTACCGACTGGAATTATTATTTTTAAGCTCATATTGTCTAGTGGTGAAAACTTTTAAATGGCCTTCTAGTTGTTATTCACTTATTTACTGTTAATGTTAGCTGTAAGTTTTCCAATAAGAATAAAATAAAATAAAAATAAAATAAAATAAAGATATTAATCGTTCTTGGAATCATTTAGTAGTAGAATTATCTCGCGCGACCTTTATGTAATTGCAGGTGATTTTAATTTATCTAATATACACTGGAATGAGAGTGGACCTACAATACTAAGACAGGGTTCTACCGAGCTACTAACTATAGGGGAGCAATTAATAAACGAACTAGCCTACCATGGTTTCCGACAATACTCCAATATAAAAAACAGTTGCAATAACACATTAGATTTAATTTTCTCTAATATAGACATAGAAATAATATTATGTGACAAACCCTTAACTAAGATAGATATATTTCATCCTCCCTTCGAATTTGACTTAAATGTGGCTATCCCTCCTCTCAAATGCTCTTTTATTAAGAAAAATAAGTTTTATTCAGCTGATTTTGTTAAAATAAACACATATTTATGTGAAATCGACTGGGCATCTCATTTATACACAGGACATGTTGAAGAAGCTGTAGATTTCTTTTACAAACAACTCAATTATTGCATAGACAAATATGTACCAAGTGTAATATCTCTACCTCACAACACGAAAAGGCCCCCGTGGTATAATAAAACATTGATTAATATCTTAAAAGAAAAAGCTAAGGCTCACAGAAATTGGAAAAATTTTCATAACTTAGCGGATTACAATATGTTCTCTTTATTACGTAAGCGTGCGTCAGTTTATAATAAACAATGTTATAATAATTATTTGGATACTACTCAACAAGCCATACTGAATAACCCTAAATGTTTCTGGACTTTTATCAAATCAAAACGTGGTAATACTTATTCTTATCCAAATAAAATGTCGTATAAAAATACAACGCATAGCGAAGGCCCAGCAATTGTAGAAGTCTTCAGTTCATTTTTCAAAAGTGTTTTTATCCCGCCTGCTCCTTCATATCCTGATGGTGCATTACCTATACCTTCTAGTAGCAACGACCGACATTTACATTGCTTTCGGGTTTCCAAGGCAGATGTTTTTAAAGCGCTACAGAAAGTAGATGTAAAAAAGGGACCGGGTAGTGACAAAATCCCACCTATATTTATATCCAAATGTGCTAAGTCATTGTCTGAGCCTCTTCACATTTTATTCAATAGATCTCTTCAGGAAGGTTATTTCCCATACATTTGGAAAGAAGCTCATGTAGTACCCATATTTAAAAAAAGGAACCCGTACTAAAATTGAAAATTATAGACCTATATCTATACTTAATATATTCGCTAAAATATTCGAAAAATTAGTATTTAATTACATTTACCCGACCTTAAGTCGAGGTTTACCAGAATCTCAGCATGGTTTCCTCAAAGGCAGATCAACTATTAGTAAACTAACACATTTTATCACAGAGACTATCAATCATATGGATGGCGGGGGGCAGGTTGACGTGATCTACACGGATTTCAAAAAAGCCTTCGACCGTGTGGAACACGT